ACACACACAGGTAACCCATTAGCATTAGACACTTCCCTACAGACTTTTCCTGTCTTGCACCCGCACGTGCGCGGGATGCAAGGCAGCACAGCAGCAAGCTTTGAACTGTGATTTAAATACAGTACATCAGAAAGCCCCTTTAGACTGACACTAAACCTGTTTAAATCAGTACAACACTAGCTTGCGTCACAATTCTCATCTTTTGTCTCACCTCTCCTCTCCTGCTGGTGATTTCAGGTAACAGCTATAAAAGGGTGAAGAAGTTTACTTAGTCACACTGAGTTTAGGGAGATGAGGAGAGTCTGTGATTCTGTGTGTGGGCAAAGGTGTGTGCGTGTGTGCACAAAATGAAGAAATGTACACACACGCATGCACAGATACACACACACACATACACCCCTGTTTGATCCAGAGCTAGCCCTGCAGCTCCCAGAGACTCAACAAAAGACCTCCTCTATCCATTGTATGAGCTGTGTGTTTCCCAGGAGAGCTCGGGCTCAGTTAGAGAAGGGCCCCAGATCGCTTTCTCCTGACATGGATGTTTATTCGCTCTATGGTCCAGCAGAACACCCTCAAAAGGGCTGGCCTTCGCATTTTGACGTGCATGACACATAGTTTTTGAAAAGAAAAGAGTGGCTAGAGGGTGCGAGAAAGAAAAAGGGAGAGTGAGTGTCTTGACAGATGAGCAGACATATAAGACAGACAGACAGAGAACAGGCCTGTCTGTGAAAGTGTTCTCAGTGCACTCGTATGAAAAAGAATATTCAGCGCGTTCGCCGCCATCTTATTTGCTCCTTGTCTTTACACTAGTCAGCTTTCTTGTCAACCTTGTTCATGAATGTAGAGCTACCCGGTGGGTGGGTAGAGATTTCTTCCTGATCTTGACAAGCCCTCCCATCCCTAACTGCATACTAATTTCTTCCGAACTACTGAGCCAATGCAAAACAAATACAGTCTGCCAGGGCTTCTATTCAGCTTGGTCTTAGCAGGTTAGCAGATATTATTCTGTCTATTCTGGGTGTGTGATTAATGAGCTGCAAGTTGTATCTTTAGGACTCTCTCAGTGTGTGTTGAGTATAAAATCCTGAGCTAATGAAGGAAAGTGTACGAATAGCTTGAAAATGAATTCACAATTCCTCAAATATTTAATGCGACCAGTTAACGGTTACTTATTCTCACAATCGCAGGTTTTTAGCTGTCAGTGCATTTCACATTATATATTTAATGATCCTTCCTGCTACCATTTCACAGCTGTCTCTATCTCAGAGTTTTGAATGCTATCTGTCAGTGTTCTTCACTTTCCCTGACAGTATCTAAAGGTTTCCTTGAGAGGGAGAGTGCCTGCAGGGTTGACCATACATCTCAGTCGAGAGGCAGGAGTCGACCGCTGAAAACAAACACAGTATGGCGGATACCATCTAATCTACTGAGCGCCATTATCGTTTAAGATATCAGTATACATACCCACATGAACCCACCCTCTAAACCAGACGCACTCTCTCCCTTTGCTCTCTTTGAGGTAAAAAAAAAGAAAAAAGAAGCTTGTGTGTTGAAACTGAGAGTGAATGTAAGCTATTGTTGTGGTGTAACCGGACTCTATAGCAGGTTGTTTGATCCTGTTTTGGGCCTGAAAAGCTTTTTTCTTACTTGAGCTGCCAGATCAGCTGAGAGGGTCAGACAACAGAGTCTATTTGTAAAGTCCTCAGTCTGTCCGCTTCTGGGTTTTGGGGGAGTTTTTTGTCCTTTTTTTCCATCCTCACTTTGTCAGCTCAACTTCCTCATCCAGATTCAAGCTAGAGTCCAAAGTTTTAATTATAATGCAGAGGAGCATGCACTCATTCACATACTCTACTTAGACACAGATGTGTGCTTTTAGGTGCATGGTGCTGCTCTCAAAACTCCATTTATTCCTTTTTCTTTAAACTAGATCTTCCTATGCCTCTCTCTCTCTACTGTGGAGACACTGGGATTATATTCCTCGCTTTGCACCTCTGGTGTGGCAGTGGCAGAAGGGAGAATGTTACTGGAAAGTGTTTAGATGACAAAAGCTTTCGCAAATTGTTTTGTTAAACCACAATACTTCCCGTGATACATCCAAGCTCTCGTTGTATTCCTGTTTACCCGACATCATTTCATTATTTACATTACATGCCTCTGTATTGTCGACTGTTTTGGGAGCTGACTTGCACTTCTATGCCTTTGTTACTGTTTTGACATTGCACTCTCAATTTATGATCTGTTTAGCGTTCAGCGTGGACAATGTGCATGCAAATATACTCATCCCATTATACTGTCTCTCTTTGTATGTCAGCTTTCTTGCCTAAGAGGTATAGATGTAGAGTTGGTTGGGGGGAAGGGTTTGATAGTGCTGTATGGTTTTTTGTTTTTTTTTTGGAAGGAGATTTGCGCGCACGCACACACACACACACACACACACACACACGCATCTGTGCCGCCAAACCCGTTTCAGACGTGAGAAACTGTACCTTAATTTGCATAAGAATAATTGACACTTCAAATTAGCCTTCCAATCAAAGAGGATTATTTTTTCAGCATATGTGCTGCTACTGAGCACTGCCATGGTGGAGAATATGAAAGGGAGGGCAAAGAGTGTAGGAACGGGAGGGGGCACGTCATAAAAGATTAACCCTTTCACTTCCTCGTCTCAGACAGGAGGAGCTGGCGTGCCATTTTATTGCATATATAACTTGATATGCAGTTTAAAAAAGAAAAAAGACTTTTGCAGGAGGAAAAAATGATTTCTCCTATAAGTCAGAGGATACTGTAAGACTCTGGTAGGGCAAAATGGTGCATCTGATTGATAGGTGTTTTACGTTTGAAAGCCTTAGGTGCACTGACTGTGTTATGTGCACGATAATACATCTATATTCACCTTGGTGGCACTGGGTACAGGCCAAGAGAGCGAGCGCTATTAGGCAGAGCATATGAGCGCGTGTGTATGTGTGTGTGTGTCATAGTGAATGTGTGCAGATTGAGGGTTTGCCCACATTAAACCATTAAAGCAAGTGCAATGTTGAATTATTGATAATGGCTAATGAAAAGGATCAGTTCAGGATGAACTACAGGCTTAACCACAGCCCTGAGGCTAACACACACACAAAGTACATGCATATACACCCATTCTCCAGGTGCAGCATTGATTTCAGCTTTTCTCCAACTGGAGTCAAATCGGTACCAATGTGTTTTTTTTCCCTGTTTATAGCTTACTCGTCATCATTCCATCATCTTTAAAGGCCCATAATGATCCATTCCAGTGAGGAGCAAAGGAGGCCACAGCAAAAAAAAATAACTCCGGCTTTCTTCCAGGCCTCCGCGTTTGACAAGCAGAGAGCCTTTTTTAAGGTTGAGCCAGTTTTCAGGGAGAATAGGGACAGAATTCATTTTGGGGGAAGGGGTAGAGAATGGGGACTGAGGGTTTGGCGCCAGCCCCTCTGAAGCGCTCAGCATCCCCCCGCTTATGGGATGGCGGATGTGTCTGGGTGTATCCATGACAACCTCACTGCATGCAGGGATATACCACGGCAATATAGCCAAGGAAAGTTAAGAGAGTAGATGTGTGTGTGTGTGTGTGTGTGTGTGTGTACGTGTCGGTGCAGATCCATTCAGGTCCACATACTGTATCTCAGAGAAAGTATTCCCTCAGTTAGACTGGGAAGCTGCTGAAGTCTCAGTTTGCTGATAGACATATATCTTTAGCCTTTGACTCAGAAGCTAAACATAAATAGATGTGCTCTTTTGTAAGCCAGTTTTTTACTTTGACACAGTTGTAAGTGGTTCTTCTTGCTAATGGTTCAGCATTTCCTCCTATGTGCTGTGTGTTTTATGCTTTCGCAGATACAGACAGGTGCACCCTCATGTGCACTCAGGTCGCTGCCTAACAAACATTAAAACACAGACTAACACATTCTCAGACACAAAGTCACACAATCACTCTCATGAGTCTTGCATAGCTCAAGCTGTGTTATAATAATCCCATCTGGGATGACCTGGATTCTCACTCAGAAAGTACCTCATAAAGTAGCACATATATGTGTTCCAGTGTGTGTGTGTGTGTGTGTGTGTGTGTGTGTGTGTGTGTGTGAGAGAGAGAGAGAGAGAGAGAGAGAGAGAGAGAGAGACAGCACAAGGGAGACAGTGCACAAGAGTGAGACAGAGGAAGATGCTTTCTGTGACATGGAATATATACTGCTTTATATTTTAAATTCACCTTTCTGTCCATACTCAAGCACAAATGCACACAAGCACACACTCACAGATGTAGAGTCAAACTCAGATCCTGCGGGAGTGTATTTTTAACCCCAACTGCCTGTGCTTTTGCTGAGGGGTTAAAGGGCCGAATGGAGAATCAAGTAAATAATTCACAATAGCTGAAACTCTTTCGATGTAACCTCAGAATGAACGGGGGAGGGATACCAAAGAGACTTAGTTATGTAGTGGCACAATATAGTCTTGCAAAATCCTGCTTTGACTTAACGGTAAAAAGAAACAAGTAGGTCAATAAGTGGAAAGGCCCCTCACCTTCTGATTAAGTCTAGTTACATGGAACAACTGTGAAATGTCTTCATATATACAGCGCTAAACAATATACCTGTCCTGTTATTTCAGGTTTGATGGACCAGAAGTCCATCACGATCCACAAACATCTGGAATAATGACTGGAGTCTCCGACTAAGGACATGGAATACATTCTGCTGATCTCAGAGGTAACCGAACTCGCTCCATTGTTACATGGCCTGCTCTGTGCATCCTTTTTCTCAGAACATTTGATATGGAGGTGTCTGTAAGACACTTTTGAGTGACATTGCCTCTGTCAAATGGCTGATTGAAGGAGACACAGAGAGAAATGCTGTGCTAATGAAATCATCTGACCCACATCCTTTCGTGCTATCCATTTCTCCAAAGACACAGAAAGGGCATTTATACAGGTAAACCATGACTGGTCCCTGAAGTGAAAGAGGGGGTTTTTCAGAAGGAAGAGGAGCATCCATTATTTACTATACTGAGGTTGCTAGACACTTAAGAGATAATGCAGTGCTTCAAGCATACAAAACATAGAGCCTCCTTGGTGCTGGTGAGGCCATTGTTGTGTGTTTTGAACATGTCTGTTTCCATCCATACTGACAGATGAAAAAGAATGTGTCTCCCAAAGGTTCAGAAGCTTGGACAGAGATAGACAGAGAACGGAGGAGAGGCAGGCAATGGGATGGTGGAGAGATGTGTTTGTGTGTGTGTTACATCTCTGTGGATGTTCGTTTTTGTGTCTGTGCATCTGTATGTCTGTTTATTACCCCCAGTTTGTTTTTCGGTATCTGCTCATGCACTTATATGTTGAAAAACATATCCAGTCATAGACTGCATAATGCAAAATAAACAGTCTTATTTAGTGCATGTGCCTGTCTATACATACATCATGTTCCTGCTGACTTTGTATAAATATTCTCTTCCAGTTCTAATAGACTTCAGTCAGGTCTTATTCTCTATAGATTAGCAGCATCACTTTCTCCCTCCTGGAGACTGGAAGCATCTGACTGTTGTCTACTGGGAGTAGTTAGCAGAAGGAGACTAAGGCATAAAACTCCTCCTACAACTTGGGGCAACACCAGATACTACTTTCTGCCTTTGTCAATTTCCTGGGGGACACTTTGACATGAAATCCTTTTTATTTTTTTGTGGAAGAGGAGAGAGCACTCCCCAAAATTCCAGTGTTTTTCTGCATAAATGCGCATTGTGATGGAGAGCACGACAACTATACATGTTTACAGATCCGCTCAGGGAAATTCCAAGTCACCGAACAATATCCGTAAACTAAAATATAGATGTGTGCATGTGTGTGTATTTTATAACATAAATGATGAAAATAATGACAAGGGGACCTATTATGCTCATATTTCAATGCTTATGCTATTATGCTCATATTTGGAATCTACTAGTGTTTATGGCTAAAACATATTGGTTCAGTCCCTGAATTCAACCTCTGTATAATAAAAGAGAAAAAAATGTTTTTAACTCCTCTCCCTTTAAGGCCAACCTCCTTTTAAATAAACTGTCTTCTGATTGGCTACTCCTCACAAGCAGAAAGCATGCCAGGCTGCTGTGCTAACAGCCAAAGATGTTGGACTGAGGTGACCGCATTAAGGATGATATCATTGTCTTTGACATCACATAGATCCAAGACTGCAACAAAACTTGCACTTTCACTGTTTGAGACTTTGGCCATCAACCAGTATCATAAAGCTAAAAATGGGAAGATCATATTTCACAACTCTTGGGTCTGCTTTCTCAAAATGTCTCTCTCTGAATTTTACAGTCAATGAAATGTTACGACAACCAAGAAAACGATGGCTAAAACTATTAAAAATGCCCTAGTTCGTAAAAGATGCAAAACTCTCTTTGGGACATTTGAAAAATAATAAAGTTATAAGAACATATTACAATATTTTACCCTTTAAGTATTCATCTTGAAGCACGAGTTTTCACAGTGTGCTTCATCTCAGTCTTTCTGTTTTTTCTTGAAATATTTTACACTTTGGTTGAAAGTTTTTGAAAGAGGCAAATACAGCGGATCATCCTTATAGGCATAAAACTGCAGTGTCAGCAGAGGACATCAGGAGGATGCATAGAAAGGCACATGTAGTTTTGACTGCGATCAGCTGCCACAAACAGACAGGCAGGCAGTGTTTGCCCTTGAGGAGTTGTGAACAGACAGGGTGGTGTGTTTGAGTTGTCTGAATCCACCTCCCTTCATCTTTTGGAGTCAGGCTGAGTTGGACTGCTGATGGCCCAGGGACCCCATGCCAGCCCTGAACTATTTTGTACTGTCAGCCAAACATCAGACAAACTTGTTCAAGGAAACATGTCTGGCCAAAACACTACATCCATAAATTCTTGTTTTCTCTGAAAAAAAACTTTGGGGAGTTACTGATTTATTGCAGCTTGTAAAGGTGTAGTGCACTCTTACAGCTATTTCAAGTGGTCAGTTAAATCAGCAAACAGCAGTCACAGGTTCATAAAATGACATGCTTTGTTGTCTTTGTAGTCTGATGCAGCTGACGAGACACTCAGCCACCCTTACTGTCTCAAATGACCCCAGCTGTTCTGTACAGCCTATACATTTGTATTGGGCCCCTTAATACCTTCCATGCTTGTCAACGAGCTCTATGGTTTCGAGGAAATTTAATACCATAATGTCTTTTTGGAGGAAGGGAGTGTCGGGTATGGCAGGAGTAATGGAGGAAAGGCTGGAAATGCAGGTAACCCAGGTTAGGCTGAGGGTACAGGGATCCGGTAAGGCGTTCCCCAGACCTTAGAGTCTTCTAGGCTTCTCTATTAGAGAATAATAAGCAGCTGTAACCCTGAGACACTCCCAGGCCTGTGTCCTCAGCTACAAAAACCTCCACTGGGCTTCTTATCAGGTTCTAAGGATATCATGTAAGACAATACATGTGAGAAGTGCAGGGAGAACAATAGGAGGAAAGTGCAGTGTGATATGAGGGGGACTAATGTCAGCGGATATTGCTGAGGCCTTTGTCGCCTTCAAGTACACTGGGAACTCGCAGCTCACTGAGCTCCTTTCATTCAAGGCTCATGCTCTGGGATGTGACGAAACTCTACAACAAATGCCGTCCCTCACGCTTGATGGCAAACTGTAAACACGGAGGTTATGTGTTTGTTGTGTATGAAGCATAACTCACTCTTTCCCCAATCTTGGTGGAAAAATTGTGTTTACTGAAAGCTAAAGAGTATTTCCTAAACGTTGTGTGCTGTACATTTGTTTCCACGCAGCATCAATATTTTTCTTTAAAACTGTAATTAATAAACTCCTGTGATAAAATCTAACACTGTTGGAATGATAAACTCATATTTCTCTTCTATTTCTTTGTATTTCTCTTTTTTTAGGTAAATAAGTTATCCTGATTAAGAAGAACGGAGCCAAACTTTCAGCAATACAGAGTCTTACAACAGCCTGAAAATAGTACTTACTGTGCCTTTGTTCTGATGGGTATCATATTTTCTTTTCTTTTTTTTAATGGAAAAACACTTCTTAAAATAAGATGAAAATATTCTACACATTAAAGCATGTATTTATTTCATGTCAGTGATTGAATTTAACAAGTATATTTTCTGACAGCTAAATAAAGACTTTTTCTCCCATAAGTGATGTTTTAAGTGTGAGTTATTTCTTTCTTTCTGTTCAGTGCTGTGGCACTCCAGGTAAAGAACAATGTGCTTGACATAATTGGGTCCTATGTGGTTATGAAAAGAGCATGCACACTGATAAAAGCTGGCAGTGTGATCAAAGCACTATGTGTCCTGATCAAATCACACACCTGACACAGTTGTAGTTTTCCCAGACAAACTTACGAAATGTAGAGGAAAGAAATTTCAGTCGGCGCCAAGAAGCCTTCCTCTTGAAAATCTCTGTCATTCAACACTGTG